AAAGAGATGGAGTTGTTTATGCTGAGCGGGCAGAAGCGCCCGCCCTGAAGGGGTCTCCAAGGTGGCCAGAGCTGCAGGGACCCCAGGCCACCTAGCCCTGCTTTGGATTTGGCTGTGATCAGTGGTGCTGATGACAAGGTCTCTTCTCCTCACAGTTTATCTGAATTTAATTAGTTGCTTTTTCTTAAAACAGACAGACACACACACACACATACACACAGGTATGAATAATATACATTTGTTATGGGGCAAAATGCTTATTGGGCTAGATCCCATTTTCTTCCCCAGAACTTAAAGAACGTGTGTTATGTTCCTCTTTCTCTGTCTCTGAGGAACATAATTTTCGAAAGCTCAATAAGGTAGTGGGATGCAGTAATTTTACCTTAAGTTTTTTTGTTTCCCTTATGCATAGATAAGGAGTCTTGCATTTATTCGGTACTTAATGGTTTATACAACCTTTCTAGTTATTCTCTCACTGTGAGGCCTTCTGAGTGTGAGAGCAAAGTAGCATTAGTCCCATATTTCAGTTGAAGAACTATAGCTGCAGAGAAGTCCTGTCACTTTCCTAGATGGAAGCAACTTTCTGTCATCAAATCGTGACTGCAGGTTTACTGATGCTGATGTTTCAGATCATTAGCCATGACCCAGCCATGGCTGCAGCACCCATTATAGAAACACTAACACACACCGTTACCTCTTTTCACTCTAACCCTGAAGCAGATGAAATTTTCCCAGAGCCGGGGAGTATTTCTTACCTCTCATACGATACATCCAAGGCCATGCTTGAGAATTCCCAAAGAGGTTTCCTGCGCAAATGGAATGAAATATTTATATTATTCCAGACCGAGAGTGTTGATAATACAGGGGAGGTGATTTTTCTACTTCCAGGTAACTTGGTTCAGTTTGGGTGGGAGTCTTAGATTTTGTTTTGCCACAAAAAAGAAGAATGTCGGGGGGCTGGAGCGATAGCACAGCGGGTAGGGCATTTGCTTTGCATGTGGCCAACCCAGGCATCTGATTCCCAGCATCCCATATGGTCCCTTTGAGCACTGCCAGGAGTAATTCCTGAGTGCAGAGCCAGGAGTAATCCTTGTGCATTGCCAGGTTTGACCCAAAAAGCAAATAAATAAATAAATAAATAAATAAAAACAACCCAGACAGTCAGATTTGACTTTGAGCAGAAAAAGCACAATGGAAAATGCTCCCCCCCCCCCTTTTTTTTTTAAATAATTCTAGCAATTCCCCCATCCTACCCTGGCAGATAAAAAATGACAAGGTGTGGGCAACCAACATGGGGGGGATGGGCAGACAAGTAACTGCAATTGTTAGCTCCTGTCACCAATTCTCAGTGCCTGAAGTGCACTGCTGCCAAAACATTGCACCATTTGTGCAGGTCCTAAGCGTGAGCCAGCCGACTCTCTCTTTCTTGAAACCACAGCAAGGACCAAAATCAGTCCAGAGATGACAGAACCCAGCAAACATTTTCAACATTTGGGAAGGCGCTGAAAACACTCCCTAATAGCTCTTGCTTTGCCAGCGTTTAAATTTTGAGAGCTGTAACTTCTAAAAGGAGTCTCCGATGGAAGAGAAAACCTTTGGAAGGAAGAAGTGGTGTGTTTTCATGAACCGGAAAGGGACCGAGAGCATGGGGGTTGATGAGTTCATTGATTCATTCATGCGTGTCTCTGCAATCAGTTCTTTCCTGATTTGACTCCCAGGTGCTTTGCTCATCACCGGGCACAATTACAAGGATTTCTCAGAAAAAAATGTGTGACTCATGGAAGGAGAGGGTCCTTGGCAGATGATGAAAACTCATGAGACAAGGGAGTCATGCCAGATGTTTTGAGCTGGCCGGTCACTAGAGAAGGAGAAAGAGAAAGGAGCTCATGCCCAGTGAAGAAGTTGGAGCTAGTCTCTGAGAGTGGAGGACATTTGGTTCGGTTCTCAATGAATGAATATGGGGAGGAAGGAAGCTTATCTCATAGCTTCCTCCTCACAACCAGCACAGGGCTAGAAACTCAGCCAGACGTAAGAGGACTAAGGGTATTGGGAAGATGAGGGGGAAAGAAAGGCACAGAAGGAGTCCAGGCATGACAGTATACCGAGCACCCTTAGAAACTGTAGCACTGTCGCACTGTCCTGTTGTTCATCGATTTTGCTTGAGCAGTCTCCATTGTGAGACTTTGTTGTTACTGTTTTTAGCATATCAAATACATCACGGGGAGCTTGCCAGTCTCTGCTGTGTGGTTGGGATAATGTCAGTAGCTTGCTGGGCTCACCGAGAGGGATGGAGGAATCGAACCCAGGTCGGCCACGTGCAAGGCAAATGCCTTACCCGCTGTGCTATCGTTCCAGCCTTAGAAACAAATTGTATTTATTGACCGGAGAAATAGTACAGCGGACAGGGCATGCAGCTGACCCTGTTCGATCTTTCGTTGCTCCATAACTCGATCACCACCAGGAGTGATCCCTGAGTGCAGAGCCAGGAGTAAGTCCCTGATCACAACAGGTTGTGATTCTCCCACCCACCAGAAAGAAAAAGAAAGGAATGAATTTGAGACCTGCACAGACATCAGAAAATAGAACTCAGTATCACCTGCCTTTCCCCCACTCTCTTTGTCTCCACACGAGTACTTGCAAGGCAGCCAGTGAGTCTTGCCTCACGCTGGGCTCGGGAAGGCTCCGTGTGCGAATAAGCATATGGACAGGGGCTCGTTTTTTTGGATTTGGTAAAGATTTCAGCAGGAACATCAGCAGGAGGCAGAGAGCCTAAATTTTTCTTGGTGAAAGAGCAATGTCCTCAAATCAGAACTGCTGGAACAGCAGGAGATTCTTTAATTTTTATTTTATTTTTTTAAGTTTTGATCCTTGAATTTTCCAAGTTGCTTTCCAGCTGCATTGTTAGTGCTCCCCTCACTGCAGTTCATTCGTCCCGTTGCTCTCAACCCTCCCCCGACACGTGGGATGCTCGTGTAAAACCTGCAGCCATTTGTCAAAGAGCAGAATCTTAGTTTAACTTTTCTTCCTAAAAAATAATGCTAGCAAAAGAAAAAAAAAACACTGAAGAAAGAAAACAAGCAAGAAGAATGCTTGCTGGATGGGGAGAGAGGCTCAAAGCACTGGAGGGCATGGTTTGCACGCAGGAGTCGAGGGTTCGAGTCCCCAGCACTGCAGGGTTCTCTGAGCACTGTGTGAGGATCAGCCTTTGAGCACCACCAGGCGTGGCACCCCCCAAAGAAAAATAATGCTGCCAGATTTTTATTCTGTTAATCAGTTATCTGTATTTATTCTTTGGTGAATTGTCTATATTCTTGGAGTGTTTTTCACCTGAGACTTTTTTGCTAACTGGTATGTAAGATTTTGGGGGGGCTGGAGAGATAGTACAGTGGGTAGGGCTCTTGCCTTGCATGCAGCTGATCTGGGTTCTGTTACCAACATGCAATATGGTTCCAAAGCTCTGCTAGGAGTGATCCCTGTACACAGACCCAGGAGTAGGCCCTGAGCACTGTCGGATGTGTCACACACACACACACACACACACACACACACACACACTTATGTATGTTTTCCTTCTATCAGAGTTACTCCTCGATTCTAAAGGAGGGGGGCGTTTCACAGGTCTAGAGTTAGGGTTTTTTTTGGGGGGGGGGGGAACTGGGCCTCACTTCCGGTAGCATTGTAGAGTCTGGAATTCTTCATCAAAAGTCTCAGCAGAACCCAGGGAGGCCCCAGACTTGGTGGGGGAACATCGCCACTCACAGTGTACCCCAGGGGTGCTCCAGGATTTTTGAGAAACTCCAAATATATATATATATATATATATATATAAATTTACCCCTGTATGGAATGTATTAAACATCTAATGTATACTGCAAATATCCTCAAATACTTCTCAATGGTCCTTCCATTTAATCTATAGTAGTGGTTTTTCCCGATAGAGATGTTCGTTTTTAAGCAGCCAAATGCATCGTTCCCTTGGTGAATTCTGCATTTACATGCATTTATTTGCCACTTCCAAATTTGAAAGTATATTTATCTATATCTTGAGTATTTAAAGATTTAATGCTCCCCAAACAATCATGGGATCTGAGGGGCACTCCTGGCAACACTCGGTCAGCGCAACACTCGAATGCAGCGGTGCTGGAAGCCACTGAGGCTGCTAAAGTAGTGCTCAGTTTCTGCCAGGCTTCCATCTGGCAGTGCTCAGGAGACTGTCAGGTTCTGGGCTTGAACTTGGGGCCTTGCCACATGCTCCAGCCCTTTGAGTATCTCTCTGGCCCCTGGTGTCCACATTTGGATGTGTGCTCCATCCGTAATTCTCTTTGGTGAGATGATGCCACATTCAAATCTCATCTGTCAGTCTACTTGATGTGCTCTTTTATTCCACAAAGCTGCCAGACTCAGTTATGAAAAATGTATAATGCTCCTGCTCTTCCGCTGTCTAGTTCAAGTTTATTTTTTTCCCATTCCCATGAATGAATACTTTGTTATTGACGTTAATTGACATTATCAAAGTAGGACAAACTGGCAGGCTACTGAATGTAGCCTGCCCACACGGCAGAGTCTGGCAAACTCCCCGTGGCATACCCAATATGCCAAACACCAGTAACAATGATGGGTCTCATTCTCCTAAAGAGCCTTGAATATAATCTCAGGGCTAGGATGAAGGAGACGTTACTGGGGCCTGCTCGAGGCAATCGACGAATAACAGGATGGTCGTGTCGTGATCGTGACATTATCAAGTGATACTTATCAAATACTTATTAAACACAGATCACCTGTTGGCATTCACCCGCTGTGTCTGATTTGCTTTGAGACGTACCAACTCCCTCTCGGTCAAGGCGGTTTGATCCAGTCCCTGCTTCCCTGCAGGTGCTCCCATCTCTCCATGAAGCCTCCTGGCTTCTTTGGTGGGATCTGAGATGCGTAGTAGCACTGGGTTTATTCCCAGGGATTTGGGAGAAATTGTGTTTTTCACGACTGTTGCTCCCTACCCCCAGGCTCTGACCACATCCGGGAGAAGGATGGGCTCTGGGCTGTGCTCGCCTGGCTCTCCATCCTAGCTGCCCGCAAGCAGAGTGTGGAGGACATCCTCAAGGATCACTGGCAGAAGTACGGCCGCAATTTCTTCACCAGGTAAGTCACTGCCTGCCAGAGTCTGAGGCAGCGTGGGCAGGTGGCAGAGAAGTTGCAGGCATATGGTTTCTTTCTTGTCTTTTTTTTTTTTCTTTTTTGCTTTTTGAGTCACACCCGGCAATGCACAGGGGTTACTTCTGGCTCTGCACTCAGGAATTACTCCTGGCAGTACTTGAGGGACCATATGAGATGCTGGAGATTGAACCCGGGTTGGTCACGTGAAAGGCAAATGCCCTACCTGCTGTACGATAGCTCCAGCCACTCTTTCTTGTCTTAAGTGATGATAAAGCCCTTGTTTGTCCAGTTTTGCCAACTGAAAATTTAAAAAAAAAATTGTCAGGACCAGAATGAAGTTAGCTTTTATATTAGCCATAAAGAGTTAGCTTAAAAAAATTGATGTTAGGGGCTGGAGTGACAAGCGGTAATGCACTTGCCTTGCACACGGCCAACCCAGGTTTGATCCCCAGCATCTCATATGGTCCCCTAAGCCCAGCAGGAACGATCCCTGAGTAGAGCTAAGAGTAAGCCCTGTGCATAGCCAAACAAATGAACAAAAGTTAACATGTTAGGAACAGAGAGATATATGTGCCTTGTGTGTTACTGACCTGGCTTCCAACACCAGCATTGCGTAGGGTCCCCTGAGCTCCACCAGGAGTGTGGTCCCTGAGTACAGAGTCAGGAGCAAACCCTGAGCATAACCAGGTATAGCCCAAAACTCAAACCAAAAAATCAAAAGTAAAAGAAAGAAAGACATTGAACTCAGGGAAATGGGACCATGTTCCATAGTTGTGAAGTCAGTCGCCCCTCAAGGCTGGCATCAACCACTGAGGCTGACTCTTGGCTTCTTTTGTTTATTGGTTGTTTTTTTTTCTGCTTTTTGGGTCATACCCAGCGATGCTCAGGGGTTACTCCTGGCTCTGCACTCAGGTATTACTCCTGGCAGTGCTTTGGGGACCATATGGGATGCTGGGGATTGAACCCAGGTTGGCCGCATGCAAGACGAACACTCCCTGCTGTACTATCGCTCTGGCCCTGACTCTTGGCTTCTTCTGGTGGTTGCCAAGGCCAGGATCTTCCCTTTATGCCCCTCTGGGACTCAGATTTATGAAACGTTCCCCTGGAACATACAAAGGTCACCGATGTAAAGCATAGACACCTGGTGATCATTTTTTGCTGTTCTTCATTTTTGCCTGGGCAAGAGCTGCCTACAGCAAGGAGGAACTGTGGTCCTTAATGTATAGACACGGCCACTCTTCACAGCCTGGGATTTCTCCCAGCTCAGAGGTGTCATAGTGGATTTGTACAAAGTGGATTTGTTTTACAATAGCAATTAGAGTCTCTGCTATCTTGAGCCTCAAAACAAAACCCAGAAACTCCAGGAGCTCGTGTGCCTCTAGGTCAAGAGAATCTACCAGTGGGCCTTGAAGCCGCCAAGAAAGAAGTCAAGGGCAATTCTGCTGGGGGGACTCACCACCTGGGAATTCACCTTGGGGGCCTCCTTTTATTTCCTTGGTCCCTTTTCCTTCTGTTGGAGTCACTCCCCGGTTCTGCTTTTCCTGAAAGGAGGGGGGGGTATTTCACAGGTATAGAGTTCGGGTTTGGGGAAAACTGGGTGTGACTTCCTGTAGCATTGTAGAGTCTGGAATTCTCCTTCATCCAACATCTCAACAGAACCCCAGGCAGTTCCCAGGCAAGGGGGAACACCTCCACTCACAGTGTTCCTCAGAGGTGCTCCAGGAGTTTGGAGAAAGTGCTTGAATCTGATCTGCTTTGTCAGCCTGGTCTCGAGATGACATTACTTTTAATTCTTCCTTCTCGGGGTGCATCAGATGGGATCTCTCAAAAACATTTGCGGCTTGTGAGAGCTTGATTGTGCCAGGAAGGAAAGATCATCACTGTCATCCTGTTGTTCATCAATTTGCTCAAGTGGGTGCCAGTAACATCTCCATTCGTCCCAGCCCTGAGATTTCAGCAGCCTCTCCTTACTCATCCTTCCCAACGGTGCCACATTGGAGGCTCTTTCAGGGTCAGGGGAGTGAGACCCGTTATTGTTACTGTTTTTGGCATATCCAGTATGCCACAGGGAGCTTGCCAGGCTCTGCCGTGCGGCGGGATACCCTCAGTAGCTTGCCGGGCTTTCCGAGAGGGACGGAAAATGTATATAAGAGAATTCAAGCAGGTATGTTAAAACCAAACACATGTCTGCGAAGAAAAGGAAGACAAGATGGGTGTTAAAATGCCTCCTCAGCCACGTTGATGCTCAGAACCAGCCCCCCACTCCCCGTCTGTCATCCTCTGCCCACCCCGCCCCCAAGACTTACACGCTCCTCATTTAGCCCAGCCTCTAGCTAAGTTCCTTGGTTGGCAGATGCCTGGCAAAGCAAAGACTGAATGCAGAGCCCTAAAGCCCTGGCATGTTTTCACCTCAGCTTGTGCCCTCCCCTTGGTGGTTACTTGTAGGTATGATTACGAGGAGGTGGAAGCCGAAGGTGCCAATAAGATGATGAAGGACCTGGAGGCCCTGATCGCCGATCGCTCCTTTGTGGGGAAACAGTTCCCAGTAGGAGACAAAGTGTACACGGTGGAGAAAATTGACAACTTTGAATACAGCGATCCCGTGGACGGCAGCGTCTCGAGAAACCAGGTGGGAAGGGGTGGGTGCCGTGGGAGATGGGCCTGGGATGCACTGGGGGGAGATGATGTTCTCAAGGTCATGGCCCCTCTGCTGGCCATTGGCTGAGACACCTGTGATACAGGCATGCACAGTGCAGCCTTGAGTGACGTGGCTTTGTTCAGCAGCGTTTTGAGTGGAAGGTGTCACACTTGGGGGGTGGGGTGGGATTACCCATTGTATACCCTGAGTTTCTGGAGTGTGCTCTGACCAGACGGACCTTTGCAGCGTTCGGCATCTTTACAATGGAAGTTTTGTGGCCAGAAGTAGGTTGAAGAACATTAACTCTTGTTTATAGAGGTTAGCCCTGGGTGAAGTTCATTCTGTTGTATTTTGCTTTTCAAGAACCTACAGAGGCAGTCAGTGTGCATTTACTGTGCTTCTTGGAAACTGTGCTTTGTTGGGCTGGAGCGGTAACACAGTGGGTAGGGTATTTGCCTTGCCCGCGGCTGACTTGGGTTCGGTTCCCAGCATCCTATATGGTTCTTCCGAGCACCACCAGGAGTGGTTCCTGAGCGCAGAGCCAGGAGGAACCTCTGAGCATCGCTGGGTGTGACCCCAAAAAAGCAAAAAAAAAAAAAAGGAGTGGTAGGTGGGGGCAGGAAGTGCGAGCATTTGTGGTGAAGCACTCTAAGGTCAGGGGTAGGGTGGGGGGTAAGCTCCAGGCTGCCTTTGCATTGCACCGGTGGAGAGGAGGGGGGCTGGGACTGTGGGTCCTGGGCAGCACTGTGTTCCCTCAGGACCACACGGCCACCCGCTTTCCATGGTGGGGACATCTGGGCACCTCCAGGGGGAGACAGTGGCAGTAAAGTTCCCTGAGGCAGATAGAGTAGCTGCCAGTAGTGGAAGGATTAGGGAGCTTTGCTTGGAAGAAGACGTTTCTAGATGGTGGCGAGTAGGACCTGGTGTTAGCTGTATCCACCCCCTCCGCCCCCAGGATGCTCATGGGGTGTTCACAGCGCTTGGCTCTGCAGCCAGGCGCACGGAACTGGTGCTGGTCCTTGCAGCTGTTCTTGGCTGTGTACAGATGGCATTTGGAATCCTTCCTTTTGCCACAGACTCATCGCAAGGGTCGAAGGAGGAGGCGCCAAGTCCTTTAACCTGGGGCCCCAGAATATTTACCTGAGTTCTGGTTTTTCTAGTCCCCAGAGTCACACTCTAAAAGACAAGAGCTGGGGCTGGACCGATAGTACAGTGGGTAGGGCTTTTGCCTTGCACGCGGCCAACCCAGGTTCGATTCCCAGCATCCCATATGGTCCCCTGAGCACTGCCAGGAGTAAATCCTGAGTGCAAATCCAGGAGTAACACCTGTGCATTGCCAGGTGTGACCCAAAAAACCCAAGAAAAAAAAGTGATAAAAGACAAGAGCTGGCTTTTTTTGGGGGGGTGAAGTGGGGAGTGTACCTGGTTAGTGCAATGTCCAGGGGATACTTCTGGCTGTGCATAGGAATTACTCCTGGTAGACTTGGGGGAATGTTGGGGTGCGGGGGGTTGAAGCCAGGTTGTTGGCGTGCAAGGCAAGTGCCCTTACCTGCTGTACTATCGCTCCAGCCACCAAGAGCTACCTGGAGAGAGGAAAAGTTGAAGGCTGCAGAGGGGGACATTGCCCCTCATCCCCACCCAACCCCCAGAATTACAGATGTGGGTGGAAGGGATGGGGACAGACCAGAGCTCTTTTGCTTCTCCGTCTGTGTTGCTGAATCTTTCCTCTTGGCCTCCCCGACCCCCCACCACCCTCCCCCTTAGGTCTCAGCCTCCATCTGAGCTGGGGAGAGGGTTTCTGCATCTCTCAGTTCATTTATTTGTTGGTACTGATTTATGGAGCTTCAAGCCAAGACTGTTAGTTCCTATGTCACAGGGAGGCAGAGAGAGGAAGGGAGGGGTTGTGGGATGCCTGTCCCCTCCATCCCAGCCTGCCCTGGGCCCAGTGGTGAGCCCAGTCCAATTGGCCAGACTGGGTGCGGGAGTGGGGCCCCGGGGACCCACATGCCCCTTGGGGACCCACATGCTTTCGTTTCTCCCAGACCCAGTCCTTGGATGGCCGAGTAGGGCTGAAATCAAGTCTCTGAAGGGTACCCGCATGGTCTGCAGGCTCCCTGCTCCCTTCCTGCCTACTAGGGGACATCTCTGCTTCCTCTGCAGGGCTTGAGGCTCATTTTTGCGGATGGTTCTCGCATCATCTTCCGGCTGAGCGGCACGGGGAGCGCAGGGGCCACCATCCGGCTGTACATCGACAGCTACGAGAAGGACATCGCCAAGATCTACCAGGACCCCCAGGTAATGCCCAAGTGACTTGATTCCCGTTCCTGCCACAAAGAAAGTGGCCCCGGGTACAGGAGGCCAGTAGATTCTCAGGCTCCAGGGAAAGTTAGCCTCTCTCATCAGCTCCTCCCCTGGGCTCTGTCTGCCTCTGATCCTTGACACTTTGCTTCTACCCAGCTATGCTGGCAGGTGGAATGCATTAGTGTGTGTGTGCACACACGTGTGTGTGTGTCTTTGTGTGTGTCTGTGTGTATGTATGTATGTGTGTCTGTCTGTGTCTCTGTGTATGTGTGTCTGTGTGTCTCTTTGTGTGCCTGTGTCCGTGTGTCTGTGTGCCTATGTGTGTGTCTCTGTTTGTGTCTCTGTGTATGTGTCTGTGTCTCTGTGTGCCTATTGTGTGTGTCTCTGTGTATGTCTGTGTGTATGTGTGTATGTCTGTGTGTGGGGGACATGACAATTTTATTTTTTTTTTTTGCTTTTTGGGTCACACCTGGCGATGCTCAGGGGAACCATATGGGATGCTGGGAATCAAACCCGGGTCAGCTGCATGCAAAGCAAACGCCCTATCCACTGTGCTATAGCTCCAGCCCTCTCCGCCCCCACTGGACAATTTTATGCCCCAGAAAAAAAACATCCGTTGACCTGACAGTGAGTTGGTTTGGATTCCTGGCCCTCGCTGAGAAACCTGTCTCCTGGGCATCAGCCACCAAGTGGGGGAGCCATGGGCAGGACCCCAGCCCCCACGCCTGTGCGCTTCTCACATTCCTCGTGCACAAGCACAAGGGAGAGAATAACTAGGGGCCGGAGTGATGGTACAGCAGTAGGTGCTTGCCTTCACCTGGCTGCCGGGCTCCAATTCTTGCACCTCATTTAGCCTCCTGAGCCCCACCCGGAGAGAACCCTGAAAACAGCTGGGTGTGGCCCAGAAACAAAACTAAACACGCCAAAAAAGTTTAAGAAATTAGTGGGCCTGACACATCGTATGGCGGGCAAGGCTCTTGCCTTTTGAACAGCTGACCCAGGTCGAGCCCTGGCACTGCACAAGGTCTCCTGTGCACCACCAGGAGTGATTCCGAGTGCAGAGCCAGGAGCCTCACCACACATGGCCCTCAACAAACAAACATGCATTCAGGCAATCACAGCACACACCACACACAGTGCTGTAAGGATTCCGAGAACCTCTGCAGTCAAGTGGCCTGGAGCTCAGCTGGGAGAGGCTGAGGGCTGGGGTGGAGGCTTTGTACGCTCAGCCCCTGGTTCCAGCGCCAGCCTAGTCCCCTGAGCACTGCGGGGAGCACCCCCATAAGACTCGACTGGGCATGGCCCCAAAACCAAAACCAACCAACAAATAGCCGTCAGTTTCAGATATCATTCCCCCGGCAATTTTTCCATATAGCCCTTCCCCCCCCACCTCTGACACCTCATTAAAAGCTCGTGACGCTCTCGCTCTGCTCCGCTTGAAACCCCCTGGGAGTGGTTTGGGATGATGGTTTCAGTGTTCGCTCTTGTTAAAATCCACGTCCTGCCGTTTGTCATCTGTCTCTCCCTGAGCAAGTCGATCCAGTGCTTGGAGCCCTGAGCGGCTCCCCTGCAGAGTGGCGGGGCCCTGCCCTGCCCCGCGCATTCCAGGAGGCCGTGCAGGTGGGATCCCCACACAGCCCGCTGTCTTCAAGTAGTTCCCAAGAGTGTTTTTTTTTTAATTTTTAATGTTTTTTAATTTTTTACTTTGGGGTCACACCCAGAGAAGCTCAGGGATTTTTCCTGGCTCTGCACTCAGGAATCTCTCCTGGTGATGCTGGGGGGCCCATATGCAATGCTGGAGGTCAAGCCCAGGTCAGCCACATGCAAGGCAAGCCCCCTATCCTCTGTACTATTGCTCTGGCGCTGAGTGTTTTTATTTTTTAGCAATTATTTATTTAGGGCTGGAGCAGTAGTACAGAGGTAGGGTGTTAGCCTTGAGTGTGACTGACCCACAGGTTCTATTCCCGGCATCCTATATGGTCCCGCATGCACTGCGAGGAGTAATTCCCGAGCGTGGAGCCAGGAGTAAGCCCTGAGCACTGCGTGGTGTGCTCAAAAGAAAGCAAACAAAAATGATTCTGTTTTGTCTTTGAGGGTCAATCTCAGTGGTGCTTGAGGGCTACTACTCGCAGCTCTGTGCTCAGAGGTCGCTCCCAGTGATGCTTGAGGTACCCTTCGGTGCTGAGGCTCGAACCTGGGCTTCCTGCATGCAAAGCCCCTGCACAGCTCTTGAGTGGGGGTGTCCAAGAGTGTTTTCATCACCAAAAGTGAGAGTTGTGACCGAAAGCACTTCTCTTTTTCTCGGGCGGCAGCTCCCACTCTGCCCAGACCCCTCCAGAGGCTGTGTTGGGGGTCCCACAGCTCTGCCGTGGTGGTGACTGCGTGGTACTGTGGAGTAAGGGGCAGGAAGAAGAGTGGAAGGGAATGGAGGGCATCTTACCACCTGGTCCTGGGGTGGCACAAAGAAGAAAGAGAGGGAGAGAGGGAGGAAGGGAAGGAAGGAAGGAGGGAAGGAGGGAGGGAGGGAGGGAGGGGAGGAGGGAGGAAGGAAGGAAGGGGGGAGGAGGGAGGAAGGAAGGAAGGGAGGGAGGAGGGAGGGAGGGGGGAGGGAGGAAGGAAGGAAGGAAGGAGGGAGGGAGGGAGGAAGGGAGGAAGGAGGGAGGGAGGGAGGGAGGAAGGGAGGAAGAAGGGAGGGAGGGAGGAAGGAAGGAAGGAAGGAAGGGAGGAAGAAAGGAAGGAAGGAAGGAATGAAGGAAGGAAGGGAGGAAGAAGCTTCTTTGAACTCTGGCTCCTCGGAATTGGGGTGAGGTAGAGTGGGAGGCGGTGGGGGACTGAAGGTTGGGGTCCCCATGCCTAGCTGTGCCTGGGCCAGGCACTTTCTCCTTCCGGAAGCCCCCTGGAACCTGGAGGGTTTTCCGGGGAAGGGCGGGAAATTGCTTCTCCAGCTTTCCTGACTCTCTCGCAAAGGAGGAGATTTAGAGGGCACGGGGAGCACATGGGCACAGGAAATGTGCAGCCCTTGTCCTTGTCCTGAGTTTCTTCACTGAAATGCGTCACCCTTTGGGCAGCCGTTCCAGGGGCAGTTCAACCAGATGAGCCACACTCAGGCTTGTGGCATTAGAAATGACTTCTTTAAGCAACCGCAGAATGAATACTCTTTTTTTTTTCTCTCTTAAGAGGGAGGTAGGAGGCTGGAGCAATAGCACAGTGGGTAGGGCATTTGCCTTGCAAACGGGGCCGACCTGGGTTCGATTTCCAGCATCACATGTGGTCCTCTGACCATTACTGCCAGGAGTAATTCCTGACTGCTTGAGCCAGGAGTAACCTCTGTGCATCACTGGGTGTTACCCAAAAGAAGAGAGAGAGAGAGAGAGAGAGAGAGAGAGAGAGAGAGAGAGAAGCATGGTGGGGGTGCATTTGGGAAAGATCCCTTTGGGATCCATTGGAGAGTGGGGGTGTTGGGGGGGGCTGGTTCCGGGTAAGAGAGAGGGTATGTGGCAGGAGTTAAGGCTCTGGGGGACAGCAAAATGGAGGTCCCTGGGGGAACTCCTGAGAAGGGGAACAGAAGGGGACAGTGGGAGAAGGTGGTCGCCTGGTGACCCTCACTTGGCTGTCCACTTTCCCGAGAGGCCAGGATGTCCATCTGCTGAGTCAAGGGTGCTGGAGCTGGGCTTCAGGGCCCAGAACCCAGCTGATCTCAGACTCAGTTCAGGTCAGTGGGACCCGAGAGTCAAAAGGTGGGTATATGGGGGCAGAGCTGGGGCTGGTGACGGGGCTGTGTCCAGGTGAAGAGATGGAGCAGGCTGTCCCCTGTGTGTCCCCTCAGGTCATGCTGGGCCCCCTGGTCTCCATCGCGCTGAAGGTGTCGCAGCTGCAGGAGAGGACGGGGCGTACCGCCCCCCACGGTCATCACCTAAGGAGCCAGCCGAGGGGGCCATGCCCGCCCCAGACTGTCGCCGGGGCCTCTGATGGAAGCTGCGTCTGCCCCCACCTCTGGGCTGACCATGAAAGGCACCAGCACCGTGGACACCTCGGGGGCCCCACGGCCACCCCTTCTGCCCGTCCCCGGTCACTGCGGGTGCCTGCCACGCCAGGCCTGCTTTACACTACACTGTCAGACGGAGGGTGGGCACTGACCAGGGAGGCCTTCTCATCCCGGTGCCTATGAAATGTCCGTGTAAGTTCCCTTCTCCGTAATGAACCTCTCCCCAAATTGAACTGTTTACACGTGAGCCAATGGAAATGTGATTTCTCGTGCCTTCTCCCCAGCCTTCGGGGGAGACATCCTCCTACAGAGTTCTGTCTTGTTTGGCCACAAAAGTCCTGTTCTGGGGAATTAAAGGAAAGTACCCAACTCTTTCTTGATGCCTTTCTTTCTTTCTTTTTTTTTTTTTGCTTCTTGGGTCACACCTGGCGATGCACAGGGGTTACTCCTGACTCTGCACTCAGGAGTTACTCCTGGCGGTGCTCAGGGGACCATACGGGATGCTGGGAATCGAACCCGGGTCGGCCACGTGCAAGGCAAACGCTCTAACCGCTGTGCTATCTCTCCAGCCCCAATGCCTTTCTTTCTTTTTCTTTTTATCTTTAACTACAAAGTGCTCTTGATTTCAAAAAGAGAAAAAATATGGGGGAGGGGTTGTTGGGCCACACGCTGGCAGTGCTCAGGGCTCACTCCTGACTGTGCTCAGGGCTTACTCCTGGCTCTGTGCTCAGGGCTCACTCTAGCTATGCTTGAGAGATTATGCAGTATCAGGGATTCAGTTGAGTTGGCTACAGACATTTTTTTTTTCTTGAGGTGGAAGGAGGATGTTGGCTTTATTTTGGTGTCCTGGGTGGTTTAAAAGACTGTAATTTCAGGGAGATGACTTGAAGGACTGGAGTGCCTGCTTTGCATGCAGGATCACGGATTTGATCCCCAGCAAAGCATGGTCCTCCCCTACAACCCACCTCCCAGCATTGCTGGGTGTGACCTCTACCCTAAAGGAATAAAACACTGGTTTTAAATTTTATCAGGTTCAGCTGAGCTCTGGATTGTTCCAAAGCAGATAAATTAAGCTTGACGTGATTCACTTGGAACAAGAGACGGGAAGAGAATTTCAGAGTTTGGGGCACAAAACCCTGCCAGGTGCCTCGGGGCACTGAGATGCCACAATACCTGCTGAGGACACTGAGGCAGCACCCACCCCCCCAGGCCCCCAGAGTGGGATGAACGGGCTTCTTGAACTGAAGTCTTTCTTCCTTCTCAGAACTCACACTGCCAGTTCTATTCGAGCCCTTTCAGTCTCATTAAATTGGGGTTGGGGTCAGAGAGATAGTTCAGCGGGTAGGGTGCTTGCCTTGCCAAGCCAACCTGGGTTTGATCCCCGACACCCCTGTGAGGTCCTTCCAGCACCACCAGAAGTGATCCCTGAGTGCAGAGCCCGGAGCAGACCCTGAGCACAGTCAGGTAGCCAGGTGTGGCCCCCAAAACAAGAAACAAATGAACATAAAAAATGAGGATGAAAAGGGCCTCGGCAGTTCCGGACTGTGGAGAGCACTGCGTGGGGAGCAGCAGGCATAGGATGGAGTTCATAACAAGACGTCAGATCGCTGACAAAAGAAGCAGGTGGGCAGGATCGTGTCTAGATGTTTCAGCACTGCAGACACATAGCCCCCAACACAAGGCCCCTCCCCCAGCGACTGCAGGGGGCAGCCCCGCCCCTCAACTCACCCCCAGGAGCAGGGGGAGAGGCCAGAGTGGCCCAGCCAGCTACCCTGAGCTTCACAGCACCCACAAGCACCTCCTGAGCTCAGGGCAGAGTGCACACCCCTAAGTGCTGTTCCAGGATGTTTGCAAGGGAGCCCCGAAGCAGGAGCTGGACCCGCCCCAGGTAAGATGAGGCAGGAGCTGGGCATGCCCCAGGGGAGATGCGGGCGGCACACGGAGGTGGGGACCAGCGCCCCGCCCCCCCCCCTCCCCCCCCCGGCCCCGTGCTGCCCTTCCGCCCACTCGCAGGCACCTTCTAGCAGTGGGAGGAGTCGTGCCAGGCTGCGACCCTGGTAGTTTGGGCAGGGTTACCCCACGCCCCCTCCATCCACGTGAATCCATCAGCCAGGAAATGTCAGTGACCCCTAGAGCGGCCCATGGGGGCCCGTGGGATGGATGTGGATTTGCAGTGGGCTGGGGCCGGGGGAAGGAGGCTTTCGTGCAGACGTATGGACTCGGGTCCCCCCGCAGCCCGAGTGTGGATGCCTGACCGCCCTGCGCCAGACGCCCAGCATCCCATTTCAGAATTGAAACCTTTGGGGTCCAGAAGCTTCCCTCATGCAGCCTGGGTGGCCCAGCCCCTTGGAGGTGGGAGCAGATGTTTTGGTGGTTTGGGAGGGAGGGTTTGGATCCTACCTGGTGGTGCTCAGGGCTTAGTCCTGACTCTGCACTTAGGGATCGCTCCTGGTGGGGCTCTGGGAACCGGATGAGGTGCTGGGGCATCAGATGGGGTTGGCCACGTGCTAAGGCAGGCACAGCACCTGCTCTGTTAATCATCAGTCCTGCATCTCACCATCTGCTGGGTCTGTTGCAGGTACACCCAGGGCTGTGGTGCTGGAAAGGGCTTCAGACATGTCCTGCTCATCCCTGATGGGCACCCAGCTGCTTCCCCGCACCCCCACTGGACTGCAGGCTCAGGGGGCCATAAAGCTCAGTGGGGGGAGGAGCAGGTGGCAGGAGCATGGGGCTGGGTAGGAGGAAAGGCCAACTCTCCTTTGTGGTTGGCTTCAAGAGAGATACCCGCCATGCCTGAGCCCCCAGGACTGCGGGAGATGGAACACCGAGAGGCTGGCCACGCTGGGCCTCTGCTTCCCAGCCTTCATGGACGGTGAATCTGGCGAGTGAGTCCCGCCCATGGCGGGTTGTGTGGGCCTGTGTGTCCCGAGTGTGGTGGGTTACATGAGCTCATTGCATTGGGACTGCTCAGGGCCCAGCTCTAGCCAATCTCTTCTTGTTCAGAATGAGATCCTGTTTTGGAGAGTTCCCTGCGACAGTGTGGCAAGGCCAGGCTTGCTGCCTGTCTCTTCTCTGGTCACTTCATCCTCACCACTTCTCACTGCATTTCCTTTCTGTGCTCAGAGGCTGTTCCCAGCAGTGGTGCTCATGACCAGGTGGTGCTGGCGACCAAACTCAAGACTCCTGACGCAAAGCGTGTGCTCCAGCCCTTTGAACCATCCCCCCAACCTGCATTTCTTTTTGTCCCAGTCTAATGGCTTTTTAGAGGGGCTGGGGAGATGGCTCCAAGGCCTGAGTATGTGTTTCTATGCTGGAGGCCTGGGTCCAATCCCCAGCACCACATGGTCCTGAGCACTGTAGGGAGGGTACAAGCACAGAGCCAGGAGTATCTCCGAAGAACCACCAGCTGAGCCAAACAAACAAAGAAACATGAGAGAGAGAAAAAAAACTCAGACAAAAGAATCTTCCAGAATCATAATAGACATAAGAAACAGGTTGGCCCCTGCCCTCTGCCCTTGTTCCTAGGGTCTGTCTCCCACATCTGACCTAAATCGTCTGGGTCTGTGTTCTCAGAGCCTGGAGCAGCTGTAACAATGCAAACTCTCAGGGCCTGGGCACGGAAGATGCCAGGCCGCAGGCTGGGTCAGTGGGGATGGCTGTCGGCAGCCACACCTGACTGCCCTCTTCCTGGTTTCTTCCGTCAAGCACAGGGCTAACTTCTTAGCACCTGTAGGCTGACAGGGCTTTGCTGACCTGGCTTCAGAAGTCATGCAGAGCCTAGGAAGATGGCCCAGAGGGCCAGAGTCAGGGTTTACATCCTGGAACCCAAGTTTGATACCTGGTGCTGCTGGTCCACGCAGTACCCCTGGCAGTGACCACACACTCCAAAGGGAAATTTAAAAAGATGTCACACAGCATCATCTCTGCTCTGTATCAGTGCTCATGACCAGCTTGCTCAGGTCAGCCCAGATGCCAGGGGTGAGGAATGACCGTCTCCTTCTTGAAGGGAGGGACAAGCTTGTTGCAGTCGGTGGTGTAGGACGAGCACTCTGGTAGGCATTGCTGGGCAATGTCATCTATCACATTCCAAATCAGTATCCCACCCCAGTCAGTATGCCATTCTGAGCCAGGTGGCCATGGAAATAGTTCTTGTCTAGAAATGACATTTTCCAAGAATCTCCACTGTTAAGCATCCTTGGATGGGCTGAGCCCCTTGTCCAGAGCAGATGTGACTCCCCCGTGCAGGACTAGTTCTTCACTCCCTCCAGATAGTGAGTAAGACATGATCCACTAGTGGGCATGTGAATGTAAACACACTTGCTACTTCTGAGCAAGTTCCTACTTTCTTTGTTTAAGAGATGTTTTGTGAATGCCTCTGGATCCGAGATTGTGTTGTGAAACAGATCCATTTGTCAAACCATGTAAAATGTGTGCCCAGGTATGGGGGAAATTGGTTGCTTACTGGAGCGAAAGCACAGCGGTAGGGCGTTTGCCTTACAAGCGGCCAACGTGGCCAACCCGAGTTCAATTCCTCCGCCCCTCTCGGAGAGCCCGGCAAGCTACTGAGAGTATCTTGCCCGCACGGCAGAGCCTGGCAAGCTTCCCGTGACGTATTCAATATGCCAAACACAGTAACAACAAGTCTCACGATGGAGACATTACTGGGCCCGCTCGAGCAAATCGATGAACAACGGGAGGACCGTGACTGGGACCGTGACTGGTAAAGGGAATGACAATTGATTTCAAATCACTGGCACTGGCACTGCTACACATTAGTTTTCTAAGATAAAGAAGCACTGTAGCACTGTCCTCCCGTTGTTCATCAATTTGCTCGAGCGGGCCCAGTAACGTCTCCATCGTGGGATGTGTTGTTACGGTGTTTGACATATTGAAATTGATGATTTCAAAAAATGGCACAAAATATTAACAGAACAATTTTATCATTGGCCACAACTTGTGGTGCTGTGGATGTCAGTGGCTGTGTGGATGCTGGTCCCAACCCAACTCGTGGCCAATTCAAGGCAGGCTTTCTACCACTGAGCCACATCCCTGGGTTTCCTACATTTTTTTTTTTTCTGGTGGGGATGGGGGTTGGCATACTAGGCGGTGCTCGAGATTTACTCCTGGCTCTGTGCTCAGGAATCATTCCTGGAGGGCCTCAGGGCTTATGACTGGCTCTGTGCTCAGGGATAATTCCTGGAGGTATTCAGGTCTTACCCTTGACGCTAAGCTCAGGGGTCACTCCGAGTGGGGCTCAAGGGAACATTCATGGTACAAGGGGATATGACTAGGTGTGTGTGTGTGTGTGTGTGTGTGTGTGTGTGTGTGCAAGACAAGCCCCTCACTCCATGTACTATCTCTCCA